ATCAGATGCCATACTCCCCTAAGAACTGTGAGGAAGTCAAACTTCTGAATGTAATGCAATTTCTCCTCTTTCCTTATTAAGATTTAATACATTTTGAGGTTGGAGAAGGCAGTATATCTCATTACAGACTGGTTAGTACAGAATGTAAAAAAAACCGCCCAAACCTGCTAAGTATTGAAATAATGAGGCCATTTTCCTCCTTCTACATGTAAATTGTCTCATATTCCAATTTATTTCTGTACAAATTTATTGTTGCATATGCTAATATCCAGAATTGAAACAAGAAAAAAATAATTAAATGCATTGTAAAACATATGGAAACATACAGATTATGTGATCTTTACTAAAAATCCATCTTAATGATGAAAGCACCATTTAGCATCCACTCTGGAACTGCACTCCTTCATTTATTTATGAGACACTATCTGTAGACAAAGAAAGTATCTTCCAAAAATAGAAGTGCCATATTTTCAAGGCATACTGTATATTTTATTTTTGTAACTAGTAAATGTCAAACAGTAGTCATACACAGTATTGATGCATTAATGTTTTCATTCAACAGTGAAGATACCTTTCCTTGTTACATTATATATTTATGACACACAGACCTGTCAAATAAATTATGTCAAAGCAGCTAAAGCCAGACCTTGTGACACTTGAATCATAGAATCAGGGCAAATAACCTTTAAAATGAAAGACATCTGATGAGAATTAGAAACATTTCATTTGCATAAATATAATGTTAACAGTCTTTTCCTTATTACATATTTTATGCCTAATTTATAATTGTCACTATATTCATTTCTTAACATCAGTTTGCGCTCTATTTTTTTTCCTCACTGCTCACTTTGTTTTGGAATGTGTGAAACACAAATTCTGTAAGAGGCATATGATCAGATCCCCATTTTAATATACTCTGATTAGCACATCTTAAATTTAGCGGAAAACTCTTCATTCACATAACGTACTATCTAACATTTCAAATTAATTCCTAAAATAGCTAAAAATTCCTAAACACATCAAGCAAATATAACATCTCAGAAAGTATTGGGCCATCTCTTGAAAACAATCTTGTATTAATGTTTTCCTATGAAGTGCAAAACACACTGAAATGTGTAAAATTGAAGCATTGATTTTCATAAGCTAGGTGATTCATATATTTTTAATTTAGGAAGGTAAAATCTAAGCATCTAGGTACACATATAAGAATCAAAGTGAATGGTTAGAGTTTCAGAATTGCTTGCTATTCAGAGTAGCAAACTCATTGGTTTCATTAGTTGAAACCCGTTAGTAAATGAGAGACTTCCTCGGGCTTCTGCTGGAGGGTGCAGTCTCTCTCTCACACCTTCAGAAATCAGTAAGAACAGAGAGAGGTCTGCACTTTGCAGGATCCTGCCCTTATTGCCAACACTGCACAAGCTTACGTATGCAAGCACAGTTAATAAACCTTTGCATTATTCTGAAAACTCCCTAGGGATGTTCAAGTGAATAAGGCTGGAAGGTACAAAGATGAATGTCTGCCTCAGATAGGCACAATAACGAAAACCCTTGTTCTTGCTGGCTGTAATTCACCTCTGTGTGGATAGTGAGACAAGGACCTGTACCACCGTAAGGAGACACAGACTTTGTGCAGTCTCTTTGCTACAGGGCAAGTTTGGCTTACTTTGCCCTTCTGAATCAGAAAAATAAATATGGTTTATTCTATTCTATAATATCCTATTATTTTATAATAACAGCAGTTGGACTAGATGATCGTTGTAGGTCCCTTTCAGCTGAACTATGTTTATTCTATTCTATTCTAGTGAAGCTAATTGAGATGTTTTGGATTAAGCTCCTATATATTTACATAGTAATTCTTCCTGAGAGCCAGAGGGAAGCCAGTGGACAGTCTATACAAAGAAGCATTGAGGAAAGGGTTGAAATTGCTAGTAAACTCCAAAAGTTAATCTAGAAGGTTTAGGGTGTCTCCTTAAATCTTCGCCAAAGAATTCAGCAGTTGTTTGTCAGTTGATTTGGCAAGTGAAGCAAACTTACCATCAGCAGAGATTTGCAGAGAGCAACTCAGGCAAGATGCTAAGCAACTCCCAGCCCACCAGCAGAGTGACCAGTGATGTCCTGGAGGTCGGTCACTGGTGCGTGAGATCTGATGGCATATCATCCTGGTCATTTGAAGACAGGCAATGTGCAATCACCTGTTTTAGTAAATGTCAGTAGCTCGGAGGGGTGGTGGTAGAGAAATGGAACCTGCAACAGTCGTGAAGCAATTTGCCCTCCTAGGTCAATGGTAAAAAATGAAATTACCCTCCCTCACCCACTAAACATGGTTCTGTAAAGCAGTTCTGGTCTAACAGAGCTTAAACTAAGTACAGGTGTTTTAGAAGCAATTGAAAGGGCAGCTATCTTCATGGGTCCCTTGAACACTCTGTTCTGCTGAGAAACAATCCTAAGTGTTGCCACTTGCCAGAAAGGGAATCTAATTAACAATGTATATTCTCAGAAACAGAAAAAAATTAGGCTAATTATATAAGGTAAAAATACATTACAGGACTATTGTGAGTATCCCAAAGCCCATTGTTGGAAGGCTAGGAAATTTAGAGTTGTGATTAAATGTTTTAAGAGAAGAAATGTATTTCATCCCTTATTCTGCCCTGAGAGACAATCAAGCAGTAATCACAGTATTAAGACATTTTGCATTTGAAGCCTTACACTGATGAAACACTTTTTAAAGTGACACTGTCACAAGAAGGTCTTTGAGCTAATGGGAGATAAATTGCCATCCCAAAACGGCCATTTACCTGTGAAAAAGTTATTCCTATTGAAAGCAGTAGAAATTGGAAGCCATTTTGATTAGCACTACACAATTGTTAATTTGATGCAGAGATGCAGAGGGTTTCATCAAGGGCTAACACTACAAAGAATTTTAAAAGTATCTGTGTTGTTCCATTTACAATATCATTCAGAACAAACTCAAAGGTCTCCTGGTAGATGCTATCTTTGCTAAATACCCTATTTGTAACAATTTCATTCATCAACTTATGTGTAAATTTTCAGAAAAAAAACATTTAGCCATCAAAGAACAAATACTGAACTTAGTAGAAAAGATACCATTTATTCATTTATTCAGTTTGCAGTTGAGATCTCCGTTCAGCTGTGACATAAAATTGATGCTTCTACAATTAAAGTACATTGTAAATAGTTTCTGAAGTGTTAATAAATTACTAAAACTGTTTGAAGAAATTATTAATCAAATGTTATAGCCTGTTATTGAGTCTGAGGATGTAATAAGTCATTTGCAATCAACTACAGCATCTGAAATGAATGTGCTTGGGACAATGTACAGAACTTATTTCTCCTGCATATAACAAGCTTCTCACAGTTACTAATCAACCCTTTGCATAGTAATTATGAAAGCAGTCGTCTCAGAAGAACATGTACAGAACACTTCTGGTCATCTGTGGGACAAAGTGGGGAATAACTCCAAGAGTTACCTATAATTGAAAGGGTAAAAAAACCCATGGCTCTCTCCCATTGTCTTCTAGTAGTGTGGAACCACCAAGACCAGAAGAAAAGCCTATCGACGCCTTAACACAACTATGCAGAGATGTGAAAATCACTCCATGAGCCACCTCATCTTCTGCAGGCAGCCACTTTGGGCAGACAGAGCAAGGGGAGTTCAGACAAGCATACATATGTAACTGCTGCTGAAAAGAGGATCCTTAGCATTAGATTTTGCCTATACATTCCAGCTGCACAAAGCACCCTTGCACCTCTCTCTTTTCTGTAGTACTAAGATGGCCGTTACAGCTGTGCCATGCTCATTTACTTTTTAGCTTCCATAGTTTTTTTTTAAGTTGGTGAGGAAAAAATCCTACTTCCTCATCCTTTCTCATTTTTTTTAATTAGTTTTTGCTCAACTCACACTTTACAGCTAGTGTTCATGTATGGCAACAAAAGCAAGAGGAAAAAAGTCATACATGTTGCCACATAACATGATACTGATATGACAGCATCATCTAATGTGATTGTGGCAATCCATAATTACAAGCCAAATACTCAAGCCGTGAATTCCTCCACCCCATTTGTGTGCTTGCACAGAGTACTGCATGTCAGGATTGGGACTGAAATGTGGCACACACCTTATGTGTCTCTCCACTGCCATCTCTCAGCTGCCACAGCTGAAGATTTCAACAACACCAAACAAATCACAGCTCAAACTGGAAATGTAGACTACCCTACGCTGGAAACAAGAACAAATTTTGGAAATTACAAGTTTTTCCTCTTTGAGCTGAGCTAAAGCATACCTGTGGCTTTGAAAATGTAGCAAACCATAATAATAACTCATGACAACTACTAGAGGGGGAGATAATCCAGTGCACTTAGCCAACGTATTCTGCCTTCGCTGAACATACAGTGCTCCCGCTGACATTGGCAGGCATTAAAAAGCATACAAAATCAAGTACGAAAAATGGAAGCATATGTTAGCTGTGATATGATGCTGTTATTGCAAATGGCTGTCTTGAATAGAAGAAAGGGTAAGAAAAGCCATTAGAAACAATATGCACTGGTATATGGCTTCCTGCATATACTGTACTAATTATAACACATTGTTTTTAAGAATTCATAATGTCTCATTATTCCATACACAAAACTACAGATGCATATTACAACTAATGTTACAATAGAAGATATCTAAAAGAATATACCTCACTGGTAAACACAGTCAGTACCTCATGTCTGCTTTCTAATAATTTGTATCTAAATGTATATAAAAATATTATATAAAACTATTATAGAACAATTACATGAACATTCTCTGAGTGATGGCAGCTGAAAGATTTTTTTTCTGAATGGCAGATCTGTCATTACTGAATGTAGTAAATATATATGGCATACAAAAGACCATCTATGAGATCCCCTGGAGAAAAAAGCTAAGGAGAAACCATGATGTAGTTCATTCTGAATATGAGCAGATGAAACTAGCCATATTCAATGGGTTGACATCACACTTCACTCTGTTCACTGAGCTTGCTGTAATTCTAAATTGGGAGAAACAGAAAAAAATGTATTATAATTTTTTCCTAGAATATAATGTAAAATTAGCAGATGAAGCAGTGCTAGCTCGAAAATGCCACCATTATAAAGACTAGTAAATCAAAAAGTTATTTATGATAAGGATGAACTGCATAAAGCAACAGATGAGTTTTTTATCAACTTATCAACATAAAAATGAGAATTACACAACATTATCCTTGCAGGATGTAGATAAGAGCACTTTTGCATTTCCAAACAGCAGCAGAGATTAAAAGGAACCACAAAGTCCTCTTGCTTCTACCTTTCTGCCAGTGAAAGACTACTTCCTGCTGTGGAGGGAAGCTGAAATGTAAATCGGAACAGATCACTTTCCATAAATCTCCAACTCCTTCCTCCTATCCTATCCTATCCTTTCCTGTCCCATCCCATCCTACCATTTTTCCTTTATGTAAAAACTCAAAACTCCTACTGACCTCAACATCTTAAAAGGCACAGGAAGAGTACATAGACAGTGTTAGTTACAATGTGGTGCTGCTATTGCAGTAACCCTGGCTTTTTACTCCTGTTCACCTGATCTTCAGGTGTTAAACACAAGGAACACATAAAAAAAACCCAACACCCAAATCACATACTTTGAATACTCTGAAGAAGCATCAGCAGCATACATACACTGTTCACAATTACATTTAAAATTTGAGGTAGTGTGCAAGCCTTTCGGACTAATCTGCTAGGCCACTATTCTGTTTTGATTTGCCTCGCAGCTCTGGTAGAAACATGGGATCAGTTCCTAGAAAAGTGGGCTTCTGAAGTCTAAATCCCCCTTTTTACTTTGAACATTTGTCCTGGTCTGTCCATGTCCCGTTTACATAAAATGGGAATGCTAGTACATAACTACCTTACAAGAATGTTAGGAAGGTTAATTAATGCCTATAAAGAATACAGACAATTTATAACACAACAATCATCCTAATTCATCTAATCAGACCCAGACAAAATATACAATAGCTATCCCCATTATTTTTGCCCTGCAGTTACCATTTCAGTAAACTATTTTTTGCAGGGCAACAAAATGAAAAATGTTGAAAAGCTCTGAAGAGAACATGTTTTTCTGGTCAAATCCACTAGACCAACTCTGCCAACTCACCTTATCTGGATAAATCAATGGAAACTGATTTTGTCCATAGGCAGCTCTAATTTAATTAGTAAAATATAAAGTGAAGGGAAAAAAAACACCAAAACCACAGACCATGATGGGTTCAATGTCTCTTGAAGAAGTCCGTGAGCCAAGCTCTGGCCATGTTTGGAATCATAAATAAAATCATGGGAAAGCACACTACTTGTTATGCACACTCAGTTACACTGGGATTACAATGGAACAGGCTCACATGGTTTATGAGGAAAGCCCAGGTTTATAGCCTTTTAACAAGGAATGCAAGAATTATTGAGCAAGTAAATACATGTTCAAGCAAATGCATGTTCAAGCTGCAAGCCTCATTTCTGAGCAAAGCCTTCCTTCTCCCTCAAGCTCTCTCTTCCACCTCATGCAGTTTCTCCACCTTCTTTCCACCAGTGAGCCAAGACAGCACACTGCAGTGCAGGGTGGAGGGAAGCTTATTAGCTCGAAACAAACTTGTTAAGGATCCAGAAGTGTTTTGGTCAGAACAGTGCAGTGCTATACGAAGTAGCTTTAAGCAACCCAGGCTGAGGAATGGAGTGTAGTTTCAGTAATGCAGAACTGGGTTCACGTTAATTTGCCCCACCAAGAGGCTACATTGGTGTTTCTAGATGACATTACGCTTTCCAGTGGAGAATGCACCCAGATTAATGCACCACAACACAGCGCCTCTAGATCTAGCACAGAAGACTGAGAAGTTGTTACTAAAGGAGAGACGGTGACGGGAAGACAGTGCTAGCAGGAAAAACTTGGTAACTGCAGTCCAGAGGCTGAAGACCAGTTGTAGAGAATATACAGATAAAAGATTTCTACACAAAAGATTCACTGGGTAAATAAGATTTCCTCAGACTTAAACAAATTGCTGTGAGCATCCAAGCAGCCCTCCAGACTTCACCTACCCCTGCTGCAAGTCTCACCCTGTGAATTTGAATGGCATCAATTGCTGAAGAAATAGATTCAAAGAAGACAGGGTTTTCAGATTCAAGATTTCCACCGTACTGCATTGCTTTTATCAAGGAAGCTGCAATAAAACAAACATATGAGCGCTGATAAGGTAGTGAGGATATATAAACTGTCATATTAAAAATTTTGCTGTAAGCTGGTACTTGCCTTTGCAGTGTGCTAGCAACACATCAATGTGTCTGTTTTTACAGTCCATGTAAATCTATATGTGCAAAGAAATGAAAGTAAAAAAAACCTGTTTAAAATACCAGCAGAGAGTAAAATACACAAAAAGAACATTCAAAGCGCTCACAGCAGTGCTGCTGTTGAAGCTATACTGCCAGCAGCCACCAGAGTGAGCCCTTCTATAATGCAAACACCATAAACCCACACCAATTTCCTCCCCCCTCCTCAAAGTACTCTACAGCTCTGCTGAGAATTAAATCTGAATTTGATTAACAATTTTGCATTTTTTAGGGTTTTTTTTCCCGTTCTCCTTTTTCAGCAAGTTTCTGCATCTCCTCTCCATATGCTTACCTACCAGCCCACAAAGACAGGAATCAGACCTAGGAAACTTTGAGACTTCCAGCAGTCTATCAGAAAAGCACCATAACCATCATGCTACCTTCTGCAGTAAATAGTTCTTTATTCTTTCTTTGAAAATTTTCAGCTTCACAGAGACTAAATATTCAATAAGCTAGAAAGTAAGAAATAGTGAAAATAACTCTAGAACCAGAGTTGGGCCTTTTTCTGGCAGAGGAGGAACAGCCAAAGCAATCCCTGCTTCAAAAAATGTTTAAATAATCCATGTAAAGTGGAACAATTCTGAGAGAAGAGATTCAATAAGAACCACATCAGAATACCCTATTTTTAAAAATAAACAAAAAGCCTGACTCAGTATAAAAATCCATCCAACTCTAGCAGCAGTGATGATATTTCGGGAAGGAATGTAAAATGAGGACACATTGAGTGTGTTCTTCCTCTGAGTAACTCAGTTTTGGACCAGTCATTCACTCAGAGGCTGCACTCCCAACCTGTGCACTTCACAGCCCATGATGGACTTATCTCTCACAAATCTGTTGAACACTTCTTTGACATAATTTGTAGTTCTGAGGTCTCTAAGATCTTTTGGAAATCAGTTTCAGAATTTTTTTTTTTTAATTAATGCTTTATTGAATGCTCTATGTTTTGAGGGGAGATGTAATAAAGAGTAACTCCCACTAACCTTATTTTTCCAGTTTTCCTTTTGACTATCTCCCCACCTATATATGTAGTTTTAATTTAACATTTTTAAGGCAGCACTTACTTCACTGCTTAATCACTGCAGTAAACTGGGAAAATGGTTAGGATAAGGCCTGGGCTAAGACCCAAGTTCAAATCTAGTCTTCTATCTTGCTCAGAAAAACTATATGAACCAACCCTTGCATACCCACTTAAATCTGTACCCACTACACAATTATTAAATGTCAGACCCAATGGAAAGGTAAGAAATAGCTTTCGATCATAATTATTCATCCAATGTATAGAAATGCTCATTATGTGGAATCATAGAATTGTTTAGATTGGAAAAGACCTTTTAAGATCACTGAGTGCAACTGTTAACCTAACACTGCCAAGTCCACCACTAAACCATGTCCCTAAGCACCACGTCTACACATCTTTTAAATACCTCCAGGGATGGTGACTCAACCACTTCCCTGGGCAGCCTGTTCCAATGCTTGACAACCCTTTCAGTGAGGAAATTTTTCCGAATATCCAATCTAAACCTCCCCTGGTGCAACTTGAGGCCATTTCTTCTTGTCCTATTGCTTGTTACTTGACAGAAGAG